ATATATATATATATATATATATATATATATATATATATATATATATATATATATATATATATATATATATATATATATATATGTATATATATATGTATATGTATATATATATATATATATATATATATATATATATATATATATATATATATATATATATATATATATATATATATATAAACACACACACACACACAAACACACACACACACACACACACACACACACACACACACACACACACACACACACAGTTGAAGTCAAAGTTATTAGCCCCCTTAAAGATTTTTTCTTCTTTTTTAAATATTTTCCAAATTATGTTTAATAGAGCAAGGAAATTTTCACAGTATGTCTGATAATATTTTTTCTTCTCGAAAAAGTCGTGTTTGTTTTTAATTTTTTAAACACCATTTTAGTGACAAAATTATTAGCTCCTTTAAGCTAAATTTGTTTTCTCTCTTGTTAAACGGAAATTGGGGAAAAAATAAACAGAGGGGCTAATAATTTAGGGGGGATAATAATTCTGACTTCAACTGAGTGTATATATATATATCAGTTGAAGCCAGAATTATTAGCCCCCCTTTGAATTTTTGTTGCTTTTTTTTTATATTTGCCATATTATATTTCACAGAGCAAGGAAATTTTCACAGCCTGTCTAACAATGTTTTTTCTTCTTGAGAAAGTCTTATTTGTTTTATTTCGGCTAAAATAAAAGCAGTTATTAATTTTTTAAACACCATTTTAAGGGCAAAATTATTAGCCCTTTTAAGCTTTTTTCGATAGTCTACAGAACAAACCATCGTTGTACAATAACTAGACTAATTACCCTAACCTGACTAGTTAACCTAATTAACCTAGTTACAGTAAGCCTTTAAATGCACTTTAAGCTGTATAGAAATGTCTGGAATATCTAGTCTAATATTATTTACAGTCATCATAGCAAAGATAAAATAAATCAGTTATTAGAAATGAGTTTTTAAAACTATTATGAGTTATTAAAACTATAATAGTTTGAGTTAGATGAGTTATTAAAACTATAATGTTTAGAAATGTTTTGAAGAAATGTTACAAATTGCATACACCCTTAGAAAAAAAGGTACATGGTGGTACAAATAATGTTCCTTAAGGAACAGTTTTGTACCTTTGTAAAAGTTGTACCTCATATGTACTGTAGGCCCACATGGAATCTGCACGTGCAGAATTCCGCAGATTTTTAGTCATTATTAATTCTGTTTATTTACTTGAGTAAATGTGTGTACATCTATATGTATTCAGTTTTTTTTAACTCATTACAGTGATGTTATTGACTAATATGAAAATGTTCATCTGATTTATGTACAATTCAGTTTGTACAGTAATATTTTCTGCTTTGTTTACCAAATAAAGTGAATCTAATTGGATTTGCATTTTAAACATTAAATAAAAGTTAAAAAGATATTCTTTTTTATTTCACATATTAAGGTTTCAGTTCTGATACTCCCAAAACAATTCCACAGAAATCCACAGATTTTTGCCAAAATTCTCAGCAGAGAAGGCAAAAAACGTCCGCAGATTCCGTCTGGCCCGAGTTATATGGTGCAGAAAAGACCTCTTATGAAACTGTTTTGTATCTTCAATCCTTCATTTGAAATTAAGATGCACAATTGTACACAATTTGGTAAACATTTTCTGATACACACACATGTACATTTACACACAAACAACATTAACACACACTTACATGCACACACAGACACAATATTAACACACACACACACACACACACACACAAAATACAGAAACAACACTAACACACACACATTGTCTAACAGACAACGCGTAAACAACACTAACACACCCACGAATGCACTGACACGCACGCGCACACACACACGGTCTCATAGACAACAGACACAAATGTTCTCTCTCTCATTCACGTACACACACACACACACACACACACACACACACACACACACACACACACACACATATACACACACACACGCACACACACATACACACACACACACACACACACACACACACACACAAAGACACACACACATACATACACACACACACACACACACGCACATCCAAACACGTACACATGCACAAACACACCTACATGCACAAACACACACAACATACACATAAACATATGCAAATAT